CCACTCTTGAAACTGGTCCCTCACGAAGTGGCCGCGAATGGCTGTGCATTGCGCTTGTGTTTTCGATTGAAATCTTGCAGTACACTTAAGGATAGCATGTCACTTTTCTTAAGCAAAGGCCCACTGTTACATAACTATGATTTTTGTGGAATTGCAATCTTTTAAATTCTTTAGGAGTGTGATACGTTTCTCTTTTCAAATGTTTCTGGTGAACCTAGTTTTCAAAACATTTTTTTTTATATTATTTCACGTTTGGTACAAGGGCTGGATAGGTCACGTGATATGTAAAAAGGTAGTGCAGTTCATAACTGGCAATAGTCTGTTCAAAAACTTTCTTCAAGGTCTGTCTCAGTGTTATGTGTACTATAAGTAAATTGAAATATTTGAAATATTGAAATGAAATTGAAATATTGCTAAAAACTGCTTTTTTCAAGCTCCGAGGACATTTTTAAATGCAGCTGACTGCTACAAAGTGAGGTTAATCTACTCCGAAATTGAAATTTCACTGCTCCTGAAACTGCTCCATATTCAGTGTCAGCTGTCTCATTCTTGCATGGTCCTGTAAGGTGACTGTGATTCACGGCTGTTGTCGGGCTTTCACTGGGGATGACGAATGAGTAGAAGTTCCGGCATATTTGCAGAGCACGTTAGACCACCTGCTCGTGTGTATGCTTGAACTGTATTTACTGCTTCTTGGAGGGCATCTTGTATTTGTTCGTCTGAGCCTTTGGTCACTCATATAGTGACGTCGTCCGCGTATAAAGCATGCCGCAGACTTGAAATGGCGAGTAGAGGCGGTAACTTAGCCAAGGCGATGTTGAAGAGTGTCGGGGATAACACCGATCCTTGTGGCGTGCCTTTAACCGCGAGCTTGATGATGTCACTGCGAAGAGAGCCTAATGCTATGGTTGCCGTCCTGTTTGTTAGGAATGCTTTCACATAGTCGTGAACTCGTCGTCCACAACTTGTCGACGCCAGATTCTCTAGTATTAGGTCATGCGAAACGTTGTCAAACACACCGTGGATGTTTAAGGCAAGCTCTAGTTTGCGTAGAACTGAGCCTGTCCCTTACTTCCTCTTTTAGTTGGAGAAGTACGTCTTGCGTGGAAAGATGGGCCCAGTACCCAAACAGCGTGTCCGGAAAAATCCCTGGGCCTCAAGATATGGTTGCAGTCTTTGGAGGACGACGTGCTCCATTAGTTTACCGAGGCAAGACGTCAACGAGATTGGTCGCTGGTTTCCAAGCTCTAGGGGTTCGCCGGACTTGGGAATTAGTGTTATTTCGGCATGTCTTTATTCCTGAGGTAACGTTCTGGGTTTCCAGTGAGTTTTGTAAAAATCTGTGAGCTGTTCTAGATCTTCTCCATTAGGGTTTCGTACGAGAGAGTATTGGATGTTGTCTGTCCCTGGTGCTGTGTTGCGCTTCATATTCAGATGGGTAGCTCGAACTTCGTGCACAGTGATATCAGCATCCAGCGGTGTCGACTCCGTATATGGGTAGTTTTTATATTTTGGCTGAGGGCCTGCAGCGATGTACTTTTCTTGAACCGTCTGTAAGATGCTGTTGTCATCCCCATTCTGCTTGTGAAGAAGTGTTTGGATCGTACTGCTCGTGTAGGACTGTGTACTTTTCGGGTCAACAAGGGCTTTTAGTATGGCCCTCGTGCGCACAGTGCTTAGCGTTCGATTAAGTGACTTACAAAAGTTGTCCTCGTGAGCTCTGTGGCGTATTGTTCGGCTTGCAATGCGAGTTGAGCAATTCGAAGTTTAGGCTTGTGATTGTGTCCCTGTCTACGCCAGCGTTTTATGAGGCTTCTGGGTGCTTCCCACAAGTGTAGAAAGTGCCTGCCGACATCTGGAATCGCCGTTGTAGTGCTTATCCTCTTGGTCGCTTTACCAAGGTCAGCTTGCAGGCACTGTAGCCATTCATTTAAAGGTGTCCCATTGTTGTCAGTCTGAGTGCATTGTTTTCTAAATGTATCCCAATTGGTGAGACGGACCTTCCGCTCTGGATCATCGGGGTTGGAGGTGGGCATTGCAGTGGAAATGGTGCAATGATCACTACCTAACGTTTCATGTAGATTTGAACAGTTATAATTGCTTAGTCCCCTTACAAAGGTTAGGTCAGGGCACGTATCTCTGGTTGAGCTGGTGGTTTCAATTCTGGTTGGCTCTTGCGGATCTGTGAGCAGAATAATTGCGGATCTGTGAGCAGTGTAAATCTGTGATTGCAGATGAGGCGTTCTTACTTGGTACCTTTACGCATGGCCGATAGGTATTCCCATGACGTGTGTGGTGCGTTAAAATCACCAACCACTACAACTTGTTCCCCTAGCTTGCACGTTTCCGCTATAAGGTACCCGAAGTCGTCCCTCCTAGATTTAGGGGAGCTGTAGATGTTTAGTGTAAACAAGCTCTGCTGACTGCGTTTCTGAGGAATAATTTCAACAAGCACATCTGGAATGGATGACGTCAGTGTGTGTTCTATAGTTGTCAAGTATTTGGATACGAATATTGCGACAAGTGATGGTGTTTGTTGATCTGTGTATGTATGGAAGCCTGAGAGGGTAGGTGTGCAGTGCGTCCCCTGCAGAGCCACGATATACGGAGGGTGGAATGTTGCAGCGAATTTCGCAATGTAGATGCGCTGCTTCTTAGGTATTGTGACATTGTGAAGGAATTGATCAAAGTATGTGCCTCAAAATGTATGTGGAACCCAACACACCTATGGTACATTGAAGAAATAATTCAAATCACTCGTTGCATAAAGCGCTTATGTAGGAATCGTGATTCTAAGTGTACTGATAATGCTTCTTCATTTAATGCATTGAAAAGTAAATTAGAAGCTAAAGTGAAAAAGGCTGAGAGCTACGACTTCAGCAACGCCTTGGCTAAATTAGTGAAAAACAAATTAATCTAGGTTTCACAGATCGATCAGTCCTGAATCGCATAGCTATGCCTTTATTGTTTATTCTGGATCCTGAAATCCTTAAGCTATAAGAAATGCCTTTGTGATTCACCTCAAATCTGTTTTTTATACCGATAACGGCATCACTCCTTCATTTTCCGCGTGCAGGAAACTGCCTGCTCTTCCTTATCTTGAATTAAGCTCCTCTGGAGTACATAACCTCATAGTAATATTGAAGTTACAGAATAGTCTGGCCCAGATGGTATGCCAATTATGTTTCTAAAGTGTTATTTAGTATGGTGTGCTAATGCTCTTTTGTAATACTTAAGAAGATTAATAACCCCTAAAACAGTTTCCCAGCTGGGGAAATTAACCAATGTTGTGCCCATATTTAAGTTTGGAATCAAGCAATTACCAAATTATAGGCCAGTATCTTTGCTTTCTACGAGCTCCAAACTTTGTTGGGGTGCTAACACCCCCTGTAAAGTTGTCCACGCCTTATGGCGCAAGAGTCTCGCGCATAGGTCACCTTTCGCGTTCACAACTACTGAGCGGTAGGGGGCGTTGTGTTCGCGAGCATTGATCACCACTATCATCATCATCATCATCATGGTTACTTTGGTAGCACTGGCGGTGACCCCTGGCGGCAAGTGTTGGTGGCGGCACAAGAGAGATGAGCGAGTCTCTTTGGCTGGTGGCGTTTGGCGCGAACGATTGTCTCTCACAGTGGGACCCCAGTGCATGGCACCACGGGCCGTCTGCCGGGGGCCCTTGGGGTGTCAGGCATTGGCGACACCGTCTTGTTTGTCATGTTGTTGAGTGTTGTGTAATATTGTGTAAGGTTATGTAGTGTGTGGATCACATTCAGTGTTATAATAATTCGGCTGACGATATTGTCGGTCTTAAAGTAGCTAAATAAATGTGTGTTGTTTGGCTTGGTTTGTCCCGACAGTGTCTGCTGTGGCCGTTCACTTCAGAAGCGTGGCGCGCTCACCATTTCGAGACCCCACAACCTTTAGAGCATATCATTAAAGGGACCAAAAACTGATTTTTTCCTACCCAGTTTTTTCTGGTGGGACCGGAAGTTTACCCTCTGCAGTGTTTGCAGCTGCAGTAGTTACTTCCAAAAGCATGTAGCTATTTTATAAGCAGTATTTTTCTGTTTAAAAGGCTATGACCACCGATATACCTTTTTGTCCTGCAATGCTGAAAATTGATAGTGATGACTGTAGCTCTTGTAGCAACTTGTGCTTGCTGTCATTGTTGTGCTTTCACAGGAGTTCCTGTAACTATGCTTAACCACCTTTATTCTGAGCTTTACAACTATTTTTAAAAATAACAACCTGTTACTATGAGACAATGTGGCTATATACAGCTTCCCTTTCTACCTCGTTGCGTGCACTTGTGCCCAAGGTTGATGAGCCTCTGTCGCGGATGGCCCGTCCCGTCGTTGTTGCTATCTTGACACACCAGCCATGTCAAGTCATCGCAACGTCACTGTACGTAATTTCTGTGACAAAGTAGGTGTAGGTGTAAACCACGTCACTCCAATATCTTGCCGACCTGGAAACTGCATGCATGGTTTCATGAGCACATAGAAAAGTTGCTCGAGACGCACTGATGAGCACAGGATCATGACGTGATGCGAAGATAGCGCCACTTTATTGCGCACCATTTACGCTGGCCTATAAGTACATTTTTTAGTAATATCTTATGCTACAGAGAAGCTAAGAATATTTCAATACTAACAGGAAAATTGTTGACCGTGTACATGATTCATTCATATAGGGGGTTTAACCAACGTTACTAGATACTTTTAAAGGGGGACGCGCCCTTTGAAAACCGAAAAATTGTGAAAAAGTCGATTTTTTTAAAACCACATATTCTGGTAGTATGGCTTAGAAACTATTTGTTCTGTAAATATCAATGTCTAATTTATCGTGAAAATACGTCAAAGAAATTATATAACATGCCGCAGGAGCTGGCGAGTGGCCACCGAGCGCTGAAACTACCCCTACTTCGCGCATTTGCCATTTCCCAACCACAAGGCCTCGCTCTCTATAAGGGGCCTCGCTGATGAAACAGGTGGGCTTCTTCTTGAACGCAGTTTGATGACTCCTACTACATATTTGGCGCCATGGCAGTGGCAGCTTGTAGACTGTGATGTCTCTTTCGTGGAAGTCACAAAGCACGCACCACTTGCACACGTCCATAAATACTTCCTCGAACCACAAGGTAAATACACGTCTTGAGTTCTTTACTGATGCGTCACAGTCTAACACTTCTGTGTCATGTAGGTCAATCCTTTTCGGAGGCCGGCGTTCTCCATCCTGATGCAAGCATTTTCACAGGAGAAGCTTATGCATTACTGGCAGTTGTAAAACACATTATACAGATAAAGGTACAAAAGACAGTAAATACAGAGATTCCCCAAGTAACGCGAAAGCCCTAAAAACTCCTAAAAACACAAAAGCCAATGTTAGTGTTGCTTTACTCACTTTTATGCACACTGTACACATCAAAACAGCATGTCTTTGTCTGCGTGAGATACAAGGAAACATTTTGGTGGACAAGCTGGCTGTATCTGCCGACACAGCTGCCAATGTATCAATACCAATCCCTGCCATTAACTTGAAACCTTTTCTAAAACGATAGCTTAGGGGCTATTGGCAGAGTACGTGGAATATACACAGAGACAAATAACTCCATGCCATTAAGCCGCAACTTGGTAATTGGCCGCCACTATAAAAATCTCGACACACAGAAGTAACACTTACATGGTAAGAAGAGGACACACACTCTCTACACATTCATATCTTTTGTCTGCCAGTGATCCGCCATTGTGCGAGAGATGTAAAGAACGACTTACGATTCTCCACATCCTTGTGCAGTGCAATGAGTTAGATGCTCTATGGAAAAAGCACTTTTTACTACCCTACCGACAGCAGCTTCCACTACACCCTAGGATGCTCAACGGTAGGGATCCGCTTTTTGGATTCCAATCACTGTCTATGTTTTTAAATGATGTACATAGTTCTCACTGCTTATTTCGAGGTGATCCAAAGCACGACCTCTGTACCCTCCGCCACATCATGTGGGGCGGGTGTAACAGTGCTGCGAACAATGGGAACGGGCAGTGCCAGGACACCATGTATCCCAAAGAGGTGGGAGCGCGGATAAGCTCCAAAGGCTCAACCATGCAACGAAGGGCCATCCAGCGGCTTGAGGAGGCCCTGGCAAAGCAGAGGAGAAAGAGAGCCGACGCCACAGACAATGGGAGTGGAGGAGCCCGAGTATTCAACGCCTAGCCGGAGCACAACGTCCTCAAGATCCAGGCCCTGGGACTATAGGAATCTATTAGCCATAGTCTACAGATAGGGAATACCCGTGCCCTGCGTGGCCGGTGACTTCCCGCATGCCGGATGCGTAAATAAATGTTGTTTCTCTCTCTGTACCGACGTTGCGGCTGGGGTGACTACATCCCCGCCATGGTTTTATAATCATGACTTTTCGCCGTCTACTTTCAATACACATATTTCATGTCACTGTCATGATTTTAATACTTCTTTACGTTTTTACCCGCATTAGCGCAAGGAATTTCAAGGCCCCTATACAGCCATGCACCATATCATTGCTCACATCTTCGGTCTTCTGAAATGGCAATGGCATTCTTTGGCCATGAATTGGCCCTGGTGCCATAAAATACCACTCATCATCATCAGCATGCTTGAATTCACGCTCAATATTGTTTCTTTCTTCAACATCCGAATACAGATTGATGCCATATTTATTGACTGTCTTTGACATGGCTTAACATAAAACTTCTAGCTCTACAAATTTTTTGGGGACAAGAAGTTGGTCGATTTGATTGCAGATTACTTGCAGTCGCACTCAAAATTTGTTACGTTTAACCAACCGAAGTCATCTGTCGTAGAGATCACAACGGGGGGTCCTCGAGGCTCAGTTGTTAAGCCGCTTTTGTTTATTATTTATATAAACGGGGTAGCAAAAAATGATCAGTTACACCCAAATTAAGCATAGAGTGAATGCAGATGACTGCGTTATTGTTAAAACCATATCTAATAGTACTCACAATGAAGATGTGCCGGATAGTGTTCTTTTTTTTTTCTCGTCATTTTGTAACAGGAGTGAAACATGCCAAATGTTTATTTACTGCAAAAATACCGTGAACATGGCCTTTTCAAATGAGAGAGCCTCTTTATATTACATATACTAATGACGGTGTAGGTCTAGTACATGTTACGGAGTTTAAATACATTGGTCTAACTTTCATGACAAAATTAAAATTGCACAGCATTTCGAAATAATTTTCAGCAAGCTCTTCAAAAACTTTATCTCCGGCATGGTAAATGTCCAATAATTTCAAAAATACCGTAGTCATGACCTTTTCGGATGAGAAAGAGCCTCTTCATATTACATATACTAATGACGGTGTAAGTCTAGTACATGTTACGACGTTTAAATACATTGGTGGAACTCTCACGACAGATTTAAAATGGTACAGCATTTCAAAACAATTTGCAGCAAGCTTTTCGTAAACTTTGGTATCTCCAACGCAGCTTAAGCAACCCGACAAGAGAATTTAGACTGACAGCGCATGAGACTCTGGCCAGGCCTAAATATGCGTTGCTTGTTTCGTCACCTCACCACAGGCATAACTATGTGAGAATCTGTTGAAAAGCAGCAATAAGGTTTATATTTTCTCGCAGTGACCAGCATTCATCGCCTACTTCGCATGCACATGTTTTATAGCTGCTCCCCCTCTCGAACATCGGCGCACTCGCAACTGTGTCATCCTTCAGCATAAAATACTTCACATAGCTTCTAGTGTTCTAGCACCCATATATCCTTCGTTGCATCTTCTGCAACTGTACTCAGCGATCTGGCCTCGCTGTGATGGTCTGGTGGCTAAGGTACTCGGCTGCTGACCCGCAGGTCGCGGGTTCGAATCCCGGCTGCGGCGGCTGCATTTCCGATGGAGGCGGAAATGTTGTAGGCCCATGTGCTCAGATTTGGGTGCACGTTGAAGAACCCCAGGTAGTCAAAATTTCCGAAGCCCTCCACTACGGCGTCTCTCATAATCATATGGTGGTTTTGGGATGTTAAACCCAACATACCATCTCATAATCATATGGTGGTTTTGGGACGTTAAACCCCACATATCAATGTACTCAGCGATCTGATCCCCTAAGTTATTGCCTGTTAGAGATGTTTTGAATTGTTTTTGTTTGTTTTTTTCCACATTGATTTATGGAATGAGGCTGAAGAGTCTCTGAGCTGACTCGGTGCTGAGCAGTGTGAAAAAAAAATTGCGTACACATCTATTTTGCTTTTAAAGTGTATTTTTTCAAGGTGCTAGACATCTGTATGTACACCTGCTATGTCTGAAAAATTGAGACAGCAGTATTTGTCAATAAGTACCATTTGGAGAGATTTGCTACCGTGGTTAACTGCTCTGTCCTTTTGGGAAAAGAGGTTTTTTTTTTAATTGTATGGACAAATTTCTATCCTGACACCTCTCTCGTCTATCCCCCGTGAGCACTGCCGCGGAAGGTGGCAATGGTGACGATTTTAGGACCGGCACATAAGTCTACATCAAATATATTTTAAGGCAATCGACAAGTAACCTTATTTATTGCCTGGCAAACGCGCAGTCAACCAAATAGAGTGTGCCTTGAAAACAATGTCAAGAAGTAGCTACAGTAAACCCTCATTATAATGAAGTCGCTTTATTCGAATTATCACTTTTATCAAAGTGTCCAGACCCCACTGCGTGTGATTTAGATTGAGTTACTTGAAGCATGTCGATAGTGTACCCCTGTTAGAGCAAAGTAACAAGCTGCGGATCCATATTCACGGCGGCGCTAAGAGCGGGTGAGCGACCACCCAGGCCGCCGAAGTGCCTGCGCACTTCTTTCATCTATGTGCCGTGCCAAGCGGCCTTTTCTGCGCTGAGCGAGCAATGTTTGCGCTAGTGTTGAAAGGCTAAAGCGCCCCCGTGCAGACTGGTGTAGATTATGCGAGTCCCCGAGGTGTGAATTTTACCCTCTTTCTCCACGCTCTACTCTGGTACCATCTTGTACGGAGGCGCATGTTGGCTGCTCCCTGCCGCTGGGCCACTGGCTACGCCAATAGTGTCACATGACCAATACGGAGTATCTGCATGCCTCTGGGTTTTTCCCATCTGTGGTTGAAAGACACACGTGCGCGTGTGTTGTGCGAGGTCTGTGTGAACGCAGGAAGTGTGTGCATTGTTAGTGCTTTTAGTTGCCGTCAAGTGTAGATGGCACCGCCGGTGCCCGCACGGAAGTGTCTGACATCGGAGCAGATAGCTCAACTGCTGTGAATAGCTCAACTGGTGTGATGTGGAAAAAGGAGGCAGGCAAAAGTCTGAAATCGTAGGACAGTTCGGAATACTGCCATTCACATTACAACAGTTTTGAAGAATAAGGATGCTAAACACGACAGCTTTGACAAGAGTTGCTCAGCCAAACGAAAGCGCAACTGTGATTCTATGTATCTTGAAGTGGGAAGAGCGCTTCTCGAATGGCTCAAAAACACTAGAAGCGTGAACCTTCCTGTAAATGGGCTTGCATTGAGTGTAAAATTTGACGCCCTTGCCACCCAAATAAGCAGGCAAGATTTTAACTGCAGCAACGGCTGGTTTGAACGTTTCAAGAGACCACACCGTTTTCAAAATCGATCGTTGGTGAAAGTGCAGCCGTAGACCGCGACGTCATAGACGGATGGCACTAGTATCGGCTGAGGCCTTACTTCAGCTATATAAAGAGGGAGACATTTACAATTTGGACGAGATGGTCTTCTTTTACAAACTATTGCTGACGCGCACGTACCCTACACTGGGCGGAACCTCATCAGGATGTAAACAAAAAAAAAAAACATGTTACATTGCTGTTCGGTGCTAATGTGAAGGGGGAGAACAAGCTCCCTTTGCTGATACCAGGGAAGTGGGCAAAGCCGCGATGCTTTCACAACGTGGTACCTAATGGCTGCATAAACAAAAGCAGCAGACAAGCTTGGGATGACAACTGTCTTCGAATAGTTTGTGCGCCTGCTTGATCGAAAGTTCACAGAAAAGCAAAGCTGTGTGTTCTTATCGAAAATTGCCTCAGTCATGGCACGATTGAAAGTCTGCAAGCGATCACTTTGGAATTTCTACCAGCGAATACGATCGTGATATTGCAGCTCATGGACCAAGGCATTATTAAGACAACCTGAAAGTTACCCGGGAAAAGTCTTTTACAAACTTGGTATGATTAAGGATGATGAAAGAGGTTGTAATGAGGACACATTCTATCCAGATATCAGATATGCTATCACAGCAATATTAAGTTTTTCGTTCTGGTCCGAGTTTGGCTTGATGTTTCTTAATTGTGCAGAGGATGCTCGTTGCGTATGATGCCAATATGGGATAAAGCATTGACTTACTTCGAGCAGTGCATTTACTATGCCATTCATG